TGAAAAGAGGTGCTGCAGCACAGGCAGTATGAGAAAAATAAAGAGCTTTTTGAACATTATAATAATCTTATCTGTAATCAATCATCTTCATTTTGTTGTTTTAAGAGTCAATGTCAGGTCAATAATGTCATGTATAATATTTAACATTTCCAAATGTTGTACTTGGTTGCAAAAAAGCAGGATTTCAGACATATGGAAATGAACATGACAATAAATGCTCAAAATGATAGATATCAAAATAAGAGATATGAATAAATAAGCGTTGCTACTTGTTCATGGAACTTCAAAGTTAAATGATGTAAAAGATATATTCTGCTTTTTAACATAGCAAATTAACTTGGGTTCAAGTTCATACATTTAAAGGTCCCCTATTATACTGTTTTTCATCAATATATTATAAGTCTCAGATATATACAAAACATGTCTCTGAAGTGATCATTGCAGAATTACCCATAATCCCCTCTGTTTCAGCCCTGTTTCCAAAGTGCTGATTCTCTGTCTGTGACTTTAGATGAAAATAAGGAGCCCCTCCCCACGCCCCTCTGAGAGACATTTGGTTACAAAGAACACACTGGTGCTCTAGGAGGAGATTGAGGTGCTAAGGGGGGGGGGGGGTTACCTTGGTTGGTGATTGGCTAATGGTTACACAAGCCAAAAAAAAAGGCCAAAATCTGATCAGCTCATTTTCAGACAGGTTTTTATAGAAATGGATCAGGACAAAAAGAGAGAATATTTGTTCCTGAAACTTCCAGAATCTCTTCACACATGATAGGTGCCCTAAGTTATTTTAAAAACATGTTTTAAAGTGCTGTAGAAGTGAACAGCGAATGAAATAATATCTACTTGCAATGGGGAAAAAAAGCCATATTTCTATAATATGTAAAAATCAAACATTTGTTAGAACAATTTAAAAAATAAACAATTCTAAAATACCATTTGATCAATCTTAGTTCAATGCTGGTGTCCAATGTTAGTCAACAGCGCCCCCTTCAGGATGTTACATGAACATTATTAAAACCTCATGTATATATAGTGTTATATCTACTGCCACCAGCAGAGGGCAGCACAGACTCAAACATCACAATCATATTTAGCCAGAATTGTTAAAAAAATACCAAAAAGCACTTCAGATGGACAGTTTCAGATAAATGTACCTTTTTATTGGATATTGAGGGTTTTTAGTACCAGAAGGCACGGAGAGACTTCACAACAACAAATCATGTTTTACTACAGAGAAACTTTTCTTCCTTTCACAGAAAGGATTACACACTCTGAATCCATAATAAAAATAATAATAATATAATAATAACAAGATGTTAAGGACCGTATGGCTGTGAACCTGAACACACTGTTTAATATAAGAAACATCGGCGTCCATTAAAATATGACTTTTCCATTAATGAGTAGAAATGACTTTAAACACAGAGAGAGGAATAAACTGTAAGAAGAAATATAAAAGTTGTTTTTAATCGCAAACTTTATGATTTATTTGTTACATAAATGGCTATTTTTTGTTCAGATGCTCCACTGCTACTTTGCGAAATGTTTTTAAAACAACAGATTTAAAGCTTTAAAAAGTTTCACATCCTGCAGTTTGATTTAACACTGGGGAAATAATAAAAATATCCGGGGTTCATTGCATGTTTACATATATTTTTTTTATAGAAAAGGTAACATTTTTAAATCCTGACTCGAGAAATGTGCGAATTCACCATATTCAACCCAGTCTCAAGGCATTTTGTGTTATAGTCACGAAATTAATTTAATCTATTGATTCGAGTTCACCAACACGATTTTTGCATTTTTTTTCGTGTCACACAGAACGATTTTAAAAGCAATGTATTTCTATTGGTAGTATGTTTCGTGCCTGCACCACGTCTTTTTGTCCGGTCGGGTCTTAGAAGACTGGAAGCTGTGTGGTTCATAAAAACATTTTCTTACTCAATATCTTACCCTAAGCCTAACCCTATCCCTTTTATTTTAAATTGTATAATGTCGGAGTTTTTTTGCCGTCCGCGAGGAAAAGAAATCGCTCAGAGCCTCAGAATACTGAAATCTGTATTTTTTAAATCTTTTTTTCCTTGCTTCTAAAATCGTTCTGTGTGACACGGAAAGAAGGGGGAAATGGTGTTGGTGAACACGAATCAATAGATTCATTTCGTGACTATAACACGAAATGCCGTGAGACTGTGTTTCCATATTGCAAACATAGTTGTTATTATTATATATATTTTATTAATGTATAATTTTAATTGTAATATATGTTTTAACTGTATTTATTTTTATTTTATTTATTTTGTATGTTTTCACCACTTTTTTAAAATATATTTATACCTGTTTTATGTGTCAAGAATATGTGTTATCTTTTAAAAATAAAGTTTTAAAAAAATGTATTTTATTAAAAACATAATTCACAAAAATACACAAAAATGTCTGTTGTGTTTTTTTTGTATTTAATAAGGACTTTTTTTTATCTGCAATGAAAAGCAGAATAAATCCCCTTTAATATTTTCTGACTCTGAACTGAATTGTTTGAATTTGAGTGGAAAACACAATTTTTTAAAACTTTTTTCTGACATTTTAAATCCCCATCAATTATTCGTTAAATAATCATTTGTTGCAGCGGTTAAAAAAAAACAATGATAGATGATTTCATTAAACTGTGTGGCACTTTGAATGAAAACACCTCCGGTCGCTTTGCAGATGAAAAACCAGTCTGTCTTGTTCGTGTCGTTAATACTGTCACACACGTTTCTCCTGTAATACTGTAATGACATCAAAAACATACACAAATACACGTGAGGAGATTTCAGGCGCATTATGAGAGATAAAGAAACAGATTCCAGTTTTAAATGAAGAAGACGAGGAGTTTGTTCTGGCCTCCGTTTGAAGTGTTGGATTACAGGGAAGCTTTGTGAGGAATCGTGTCGAGACTCGCACGAACCAACCCGACCTCATTCCTCTCCGGGAGCTTTACCCCGGGATGAAAACACGTTTAAATCCGAGTCTTTTTCACGTTTAAAAAGCAGAAGAACTGGCTCCAAGTGAACATAGAGTCGATGGAGGAGTGATTGTCGAGGCTCATGCATAGTTAGAGGAAGGCACGTCGGTGTGTGTGCAGATTCAATGTTTTTAATCCTGCACACTGAGGAGACTTCCTGTCTTTGGTTTGTAGCGCTGAGAGATTTTTCTGCACATAAAATGTCTTTTCGTGGGAAAACGGCGCTGGATTTATATGTTTTAATGTTGTTTGTTCACCAAAAAGAAGACGCTTGCTCTCACACTTTGTCATGTATTAATGAAGTGATGTTTCAAACAAGCCCTTAAATCCCTCCTCTGTTCTAACGTATCTTTGTTTTTTCATTGCATCTTGGGTCATTGTTTTTCATTTCTGTATTTATGTTTTCTGTTAGGCGTCACTTCTTTTATCTCTCCGTCTTTTCGTCCTGGAAACTCTCCTCTGGTTCCCTGAGGCTGAGCGTTAACTAGGGATGCTCCGATCGATCGGCCGATACTCACTCTCTGCCGATCGATCGGTGCTCTCCAAAAATGGCGATAGCGAGAGCCGATCGCATGGCGTAAAATGATGACGTAAAATACATGACGCTTTTCTCTGTGCGCGGCAAAACAAGCTCGCCAAAATGGCTTCACCGGTCTGGCAGTATTTTAAGGTGTCCGAAAATGACAATAAAATAGCGGTATGTAACGCGTGTGAAGCAGAAATCCTGCAGCTCCGCCCGCTGTGACGAACCGGTGAGCGGAGCAACACACACTAAGAGTTAGACCTAACACACTTAGCTATTTGATCTACCTCTGGAACAAGCTACACTAGTTATAAATATGTTTATTCTTCACTGTCGGGTCACTCAGTCATTACTGGATCAGTGAGCTGCAGGAGACGATACTGACAGGCTGTCAGGGGAGAGAGAGAGAGAGGAAAAGAGAGCGCTTCCACTCATTTTTTCCGTGTTATTATCCAAAGTTAATGTAAACTTGAATAATGTACTTCATTTGAATGTAATAATTATGTTGGTTGTTGTTTGTGGAAGCGCCAGTGAATGAGCCCCATAACTGAGTTTTAAACATCACTTTAAATGGAAGATTCCCATAGGCCCCGCCCACTCGATCGGATCGGCCGATACTGATTCCGGCCATCGGCCCCAAAATTGGCGATCGGAGCGTCCCTAGCGTTAACTCCTCCGTTACGACACAAACTCAACACTTTGCTTCGATGAAGACGGACAGACAAACCAAACAAGCCTCTCCTCCGATTACCAGTCTGACATCAAGAGGGCTTTTCTGAAAAGTGGAGATATTTCCCGGAAAAGACGCTGGGTGCAGAGGCCGTCATGGCGCTCTCCTCTTTGGAAGAGAAGTGAACATACTGGTCCTTAAAACCAGCTTGGAAGAACATGGATGTTTTTCAGATCCTCTCTCAGGGAGCAGCTCCGGTTAAAGACGTCTTTAAGATCTCTTTCCGCCTCCATGTTTGTTTGTTTTTCCTGAAGGGAACGCCGTGTTGTTGTGACTTTATCCTGGAAACTCTCCTCAATGGAAACAGTCTCTCTGAAGCAGGAGGTGTGGTTCGGTGTTTAGATTTCTGAAGATTTAGTTTCCTCTCAGGCAGCAGCTCCAGTTTTAGACGTCTCCTTCCTCCCTCCTTTGCTCTGGAAACTCTCCTCTTATTAAAAAACGACTTTAAAAAGAGGAATGACGCTCTGTGGACTCAGTTGAGTTTAGAGCTTTTCGGCGTCCATCTTTGTTTGTTATTCGTGGTTATTCCTTTGTCTTTTTGTCCTGGAAACTCTCTCCTCCACAGAAACAGAAACAGTCTCTCTCTGGTCACTGAAGGAGGAGGTGTTGTTCAGTTTGGAGGAGATAGATTTGAGTAAAAAAGTTTTATAAAGTAGATCCCTTTAGTTTCCTCTCTCCGGGAGCATATTCGTTTATAGACGTCATCCATTTTGTTTGTTATCCGTGGTTATTCCTTTGTCTTTTTGTCCTTGAACAACAGAAACAGACGCTCTGTGGAACTCTGTTGTCGTTAAAACCAGTTTGGAGGAGACAGATTTCAATACAAATGTTTTTTAAAATCAGATCCCTTTAGAACCTCTCGCAGGGAGCCGCTCCGGGTAAAGACGTCTCTTTCTGCCTCCATCTTTGTTTGTTTTCCGTGGTTATTCTTTTGTCTTTTTGTCCTGGAAACGCTCCTCTGGAAACACCAGAAACAGACGATGTGGTTCAGTTCAGAGGAGACAGAGTTGAATACAAAAGTGTTTTAAGAGAAGATCCCTTCAGCTCCGGTTAGAGACATCTTTAAGATCTCTTTCCGCCTCCATGTTTGTTTGTTACTCCTGAAGGGAACGCCATCTTTTTGTCAGTTTATTAAAGACGTCTCCTCTCGGCCTCCATGTTTGTTTCTCAGTCCTCCATGTTTTCCTCACACCACGAACTCGGGCACCTCCTCGTTGCTGAGGTCCAGGCTGAAGTACTTGTTGGTCCTCTTGATGGGGAAGGGGTTCTCTTGTTCTTGTTGTTGTTGTTGTTGTTCCCCCGCCATCAGACCGGCTCTCTGCTCGGCCAGGCCCTGATAGGCTCCGCCCCCGACCCCCCCGCCACCATCACTGAGCTCCTGGGCGCAGCCAAAGGTGTAACTGTGGGCGGAGTCTTGGCATAGCTCCGCCCACTGCAGCATCTCCTTCTGATGCAGCCGCACGTCGTCCAGAGACTGGGAGTGACGGTCCGAGGAGGAGGAGGGGGGCTTCCTGCAGGAGGACGTCTGCAGGGGGGAGAGAGGACACATATTACACTAACATAAAGTCATGCAGACTCGATGCTCTGTTCTCTGTGTGTATTGTATAGTTTATTGCAGTAGTATGGCAGTAGTATTGCAGTGGTATGTATGGCAGTAGTATTGCAGTATCTGTGAGTATTACCTGCGGCAGAGACTCGATGCTCTGTCCTCTCATCTTGACGACGGTCTCTGAAGAGCTGGAGGTCGACGAGCTCACTTCCTTCACTATCAGACCTGCAGAAAACAAAGACATTTAAATACACAGTAAGTACATGCTTCAACAAAGCAAAAACAACCTCACAGAAACAGTTCAACCTCACACCAAATTCCAGCCTCATTGGGAAAACAACGACAATGTAATTGACCTATAAATAAATACGTCAAAGTAAAGTAGAGCAGTGTGTGTGTGTGTGTGTGTGTGTGTGTGTGTGTGTGTGTGTGTGTGTGTGTGTGTTTGTGTTTCTGTGTACCTGAGTACCCGTTGGTGTGATCTGGAGACATGGTCAACATGTCCTCAGTGATGTGGATACACAGCTCCTGATCCAGAGCCGACTCGTCAAGCTCCTCGTAATCTTTGGGGTCGTCCACCAGCATCTCAATCTCTGCAACACACAGAATATTAAAAAATCATCCTGGAAAAAATATCTGATAATCTGCACGTTTCTAGAGGCTTTTGTTTTGCAGCTTAATTAGTTTGAGGGAGGTGTCGTTGTGTTTTTGAACCATTCCCAGAATGCATCAGGAGTCATGCATCAATTCAACTGTCAAGCTAATTATAAGACTCTAATCTCACACATCATCAGTCTTTTCTTGTTGATTAACCACTTTAAAGAGAAAATATTAAAAGCGTTTCACTCCAGACTCTGATTGAATGCGAATTAGGGCTGCACGTATTGAAAAAAACTGACATCGCGATTTCCCCCCCCCCTGCGGTATATATTGCGGTTTTTTAACCTGTTAAACCCCAAAGTCCCGGCGGGTACTTTACTTTTTTTTTCACAACAGTGTCTCAGGGGATCGTAATATTTAAGAACCTATTAATGTGTTATACCAGATTAACGGAAATAATCTCAGCTAACTGACGATACAAAACCATTTTTACCAAAACAAAACACAAGTCTCATAAGAAGCATCTAAATGACCCCTGAGCGAAAAATGCTAACGCACTTTGGCACAGAACTCAAGATAACAGTACCCTTATTATTACTTATCGTAGCTGCACTTACAAGATATCCGATTACAGCTGAGGTTCCACAGATTATTTATGTATATAGTATCATCACTGAGTGATCTGAACTCGGACAGGGGAAGCAAACACAGACATCACAACACGTACCTTTATGTAGCTTCTAGGGGAGATGTCTCACCGTAGCTGTCAATCTGATCAAAAGACGTGTTCAATGGCATTAAAACGAGAAAGAAAAAACGCGGCTGAATCGGTGAATCCATAGGTTTTTAACGTCTCTGTATAAAAAAATTATTTAATTTATAATCCATAATTCCATTTTTATGTAAATATCGCAGAGCAAAAGTTAGCTGCTAATGGTAGCCACCAGAGTGGCTGCTGCTTCCGGTCTCGGCTATGCGGCAGTCCAACGCAGTCTAACACACACACATTACCAAATAAGGAGTGAGAGTGACGCGTAGCCAAAACCGGAAGCTGCATACACTCTGGTAGCTACCATTAGCAGCTAACTGTTGTGCTCCGATTTTTACATAAAAATGGAATTATGGATTATAAACAATTGCTTCAAAGCCACAGATACATTATCAACCTATGGATCAACCGATTCAGCTGCGTTTTTTCTTTCTCGTTTTAATGCCATTGAACACGTCTTTTGATCAGATTGACAGCTACGGTGAAACGATCTCCCGTAAAAGCTCCGTAAAAGGTACGTGTTGTGATGTCTGTGTTTGCTTCCCCTGTTGCGAGATCGGATCGCTTAGATACTATACTTAAATAATCTGTGGAGTCTCAGCTTTAATCGGATATATTGTATGTGCAGTTTCGATAAGTAATAAGGGTATCTTTATTTTGAATTCTGTGCTAAAGTGCGTTAGCATTTTTTTTTAAATGAATAAAGCCGCACGTCCCTGCGGTGTGAATACCGCGCATGCGCATACCGCGGTTATCGCCATGACACGGTATATCCTTCAGCCCTAATGCGAATAGTTTTTTCTTGGAAATGTAGTGTCGGATTTAAAGCGTCAGAGATAGTTCTTGTCTCCAAGAGTTTTTCTCCAAAGATAAAAAGCGTTTATTGTTATTAATTTGGGAGTTGTTCTTGTTTATTTGTCAGTTGTATCTTTAGGGTATATGCAGGAATCCTGAAGTCAAATGTAAAACCTTTTAAGACCTTTTTTAAGACCCTTTCCACACATTTTAAGACCTCATCGCCACTTCGAGTTTTAACCGGTTACATTGGCGACACACTTCACCTCACATTGACTACATACAGTATTGATTGTCCTTCCTCCTTATCTTCCAACCATTTGGACGCAGACTTGCATTTCCCCATAACGATGTTGTTTAACAACCGGCGTAAACGGACCTTTGCGCGCTATCAAGCAGTGAGCGTGCGATGTCCTGTTCAGATGACGTCACATCCAACGGGATGCCATCAATAAACTACACAGAATCACACTACACACCTACGCAATGATTACATTCAGGCAGGCTGTAGAACACAACCTCTTTGGACAATTTATATACTTATTGAAAACAAGCTACAAAATGTAATACCTTGGAAAATGCCGTTTAATACTTTTTAATAGCATTAATTTTCGCTAAATTGATTTATCAACTTTTAATACTTTTTAAGACCCCGCGGACCCCTGATCTTGTTAATTTGTGGAGGGGGGGTTTGTAAGTTCTTAAGTTTTTCCGTATATAGTTGCCAGTATTTTCTCTCTTGTAAATTTCACCTTGTTTCCTGCAAACTTCTGAGTTTTCTCATATTTAGTTTTTCCTTGTAAATGATTGTGTTTTTCTCTTTTGAATTTTTTTTTTCTTTTTCTAGCAAATAATTTTTTTCTGAATTAAATTTCAGAGTTCATTTGGGTGATTTAGTCTCACCGTCGTCGTCCAGGCGCTCCTTGCCGCCGCTCTCGATACCGGAGGTGTTGGAGCTGCCGTGGCTCGTTGTGGAGGAGCTGCAGGTCCGAAGGGGTCGGTGCTGCCCCCCCGCCCTGCAGCTGTCCTGCCCCCCGGCCCTGAAGCTGTCCGCCTCGATGCCGGAGGTCTGCGAGCTGCCGTGACTCGTGGTGGAGCTTCGGTGGAGGCGTTTGTGGTGCTTCATGCTGCCGGCGCTGCTGCCGCTGGCCCGCGAGCGTTTATCCATCTGATCCATGTCCAGGTCCAGAGCGTCGCTGATGTACGACTCCCGGTACTGCTTCTTATCTGGGAGTCAAGATAATAACACGGTTCAGGATTTAATCATGTTAATTTATAAAACTTATACCGTCTAAACATTTTGTAAACCCCTAACTTTCTCTTCAATCAAATCCAATCTCTCCCAAGTCTTTTTTTATGACAGTTATTTTCTTGTAAATGTACGACTTAAATCTCAGAGCTAATCAAACTTTTTGTCTCTAACCAATTTATTATCAGAGACAATCAAGGTTATTCTATTAGAAATGTGGGACCTTATCTCAAGAATATGCACGTTTTTTCTTACTTTTTCTTGTAAATTTAGCAATATAAAAAAATGTTTTTTTGTATATTTGTGAGTTTATTCTTGTATATTTAGCAATTTATTCTAAGACAAAATAAAATGTTATTCTCGTACATTTGTAGCTTAAATCTCAGAGAATAGCTTCGGTTTTCCAACTAAAATCTGTGAGTATGACCCCTGGATCGTCTCCGTTATGTATTTCGTTTCTTACTTATACAGAGTCCTACAATACCAATCAAGCACATTTTCTTTATATAACTCAATATCAGAAGTTTGCCTCAGAGGGCTTTACAGTCTGTGCAGAATATGACACCCTCTAAACCCTTTTTTACCCTCAAAGCAGACGATAAAAACAGATAACAAATTCCAGAGTAATAAAGTTTACCTTCGTTCTCCTCGAGGCGGCGCACCTGTTTGAGCACCGGCTGCAGGTTCATGTAGAGCCGGTGGCTGTTGCTCAGCAACTGCAGGAGATGCCGGGATCGAATCGGACATCCAGTGTAGTACATCAGCTTACGAGCCGACGGGAGGCCGTCAGGGAGGATCTCAAACTTCTTACCCTGAAACAAAGAGCGGAGAAAACACCCTTTTTAATCTCAGAAAAGTCCCTTTTTTTCTTGTTAAAATGTACTTCAGTAAAAGTATAGTCATATAAAATATTTATTTATTTATTCCCAAAACTTGACTACTTCCAATGTTGAAATGCAGCCTACGCCCTGCCCTCTACATCATACACCAAAAACCCTGAATATAAAAATCCCCTGAACGCATCATCTGCAACATCTGGAGTTCATTGAACCCGCGCCCCCCCCGCCCTGCCGGTGACGTGCATGGAGGAGAAACCACAGCCGACGGGAGGAAAAAACACGGAGCAGGAAAACAGGAAGTGTTGATGTTGAGCTGCAGTTTGATCCAAAATTAGGACGAAGTTCACCACAAAAACTCCCGGGACGTTACGAGACAATTACACCGTCTGCAGCTGTCACCTCGGGAATAGACCCAGGATTAAAGGAGTTCAGGAGGGTTTGGGAAAACTTGGATTCAACTCAGTCCTTTCAGAAATCTGAGTTTGTAATCTTATTCCTGGAACGACTTGTTCTGCGTTTCACCGTGGTCTCAGGACATGCAAACATTTGGCAAAAAAAGAAACATGACATGTTTGACTGCTGTTGTTTAACACATGGTCATATTTAAACAAAATAGATGGATTTGATATAATATTTTGAGATTTTAAAATGCAGATTCAATAATAAATAAATCCTACTCTCAGTTTTGTCTCATTTGAAAGACTTTTGGAGGATTGACAAAGACATTTTAATATCACGTTATTTTTGGATGCCTTTAAAGACCTTGTACACGGCACTGTTTATTTTCTATGTTTTTTGAGCACATTTCTGAGATGAATGTATTTAAATGTCTTTTTATAATTGTGTTTCTTTTGCATCTTCTCTCGTTTTAAATGCTCCATGTAAAGCACTTGAATTTTCATGTTGCTGAAATGTTTGCTATAAATAATCTTACCTCATATATAACAATTAATTGTCTTAAATGAAATAAGATAAGAGTCAGAGGAGCTGGTTTTTGTGCAGCAGCGGTGATAACGACCTCTGCATGGTGATGAATAATCTCCTGCAGTAAACATGGAGTCTTTAGAGAGAAACGGAAAGAAAGTGAGCGTCCACAGAAACAGATCAAATAAATAAATTAGCAGAGGGGAGGAAATACTGCAGCTGAATGTGTGTGTGTGTGTGTGAGAGAGAGAGAGAGAGAGAGAGAGAGAGAGACTCCTTAAATCCCTGATTGGTTCCAGAGGACTTGCAGGGCTAAGATAAAGCAGCAGCGTGGAGGAAAGAGGCGGATTCCACGACCCGAGCAGAGAGAGATTTAGAAACGTCAGGGGAAGCTCGTCAGCGCAGAAAAACTCAAATATAAAGTGTGTGTTGCATGCATCAGACTCACCACAAACACCAGCTTCCCCACGTTGGTCCAGGGGAAATCGTACAGCAGCTGCCGCACCGAGCCCACGTTCTGCAGAACACACACATTAAATATTACGAATATATTACAGGTAGGTTATTTTACTCTCAGCTTGATCGTATTGCAAAAATATCCCTCTTTGTGATGTATTTTCATTTCTTTTAATTAAATGTATTTAAAGAAACGTAGGTTACCTGAAATATCTGGATGCCTCGTAGAGTCAGTCCTAAAGTCAGAGACGCCTCCACCTCCTTCTTATCCTGGAGGAGAAAACACCAAATATATATAAATATAAATGTGGGACCATTTGGGATTTAAAGGTCCCCCGATTATACTATTTTTCAACAATTGATCAGATATATACAAAACATGTCTCTGAAGTGTTTGGCTCCAAACACCAAACAGATCTTTGCAGCATTACCCATAATCCCCTCTGTTTCAGCCCTGTTTCAAAAGTGCTGATTCTCTGTCTCTTACTTTAGATGAAAATAAGGAGCCCCTCCCCACGCCCCTCTGAGAGAGATTTGGTTAAAAAGAACACGATGGTGCTCTAGGAGGAGATTCAGGTGATAAGGGGGGGGGGGGGGGTTACCTTGGTTGCTGATTGGCTAATGGTTACACAAGACAAAACATCGTTATGACATCATAAAGTGGCCAAAATCTGATCAGCTCATTTTCAGACAGGTTTTTATAGAAATGGATCAAAAAGAGAGAGAATCTTTGTTCCTGAAACTTTCAGAGTCTCTTTCCACAGAGGGGACACATGTTGATGTAGAAGAGACATGAAGAAGAGGGGACACATGTTGATGTAGAAGAGACATGAAGAAGAGGGGACACATGTTGATGTAGAAGAGACATGAAGAAGAGGGGACACATGTTGATGTAGAAGAGACATGAAGAAGAGGGGACACATGTTGATGTAGAAGAGACATGAAGAAGAGGGGACACATGTTGATGTAGAAGAGACATGAAGAAGAGGGGACACATGTTGATGTAGAAGAGACATGGAGAAGAGGGGACACATGTTGATGTAGAAGATACATGAAGAAGAGGGGACACATGTTGATGTAGAAGAGACATGAAGAAGAGGGGACACATGTTGATGTAGAAGAGACATGAAGAAGAGGGGACACATGTTGATATAGAAGAGACATGAAGAAGAGGGGAAACATGTTGATGTAGAAGAGACATGAAGAAGAGGGGACACATGTTGATGTAGAAGAGACATGAAGAAGAGGGGACACATGTTGATGTAGAAGAGACATGAGAAAGAGGATTTTTGCATAATAAAATAAGATTAAAGTCACATATTTACAAGAAATTACTTAGATGTTCTCTGTTATTAAAATAGTAAACAAACAAGAAAAAAACTTGAATCTTTTTCTAAGTTTACACAGCCATATCATTGAGAGAACAATCTCACGAATTCACAAGAAAAAAAATGATTTCTCAAATATCTAACTTCTTTTTTTATCTATTTTCATCGGCATATTATGTCTATGTCTCAGTTTTTCACATTTCAAATATTGAGCAAATCAAATACAAATCAACTCGTTTCTTACTGAATTTGGATTAAGAAGTTTTCTCATATCTACAGTGTGAGTTTCTGCAGTGTGTGTGTCACCTTGTAGAGGCGGTAGTAGTGCACGGTGACGTCGTCCAGGTGAGCCGACTCCTTGATGTATTTCAGGTGAGCTTCAGATGCCGTCAGAGCGAACTGGTCTTTGTGCATGTTGGGGATGTGACGCAGGATGTACTCACGACCTCGCTTTGAAATCACCTGAACAGGAGAGGAAGAGGAACAGAGTCAGGTTTTTATGTTGTTTTAAAGATCTCCTATTATACTGTTTTTCATCAATATATTACAGGCCTCAGATATATACAAAACATGTCTCTGAAGTGTTTGGCTCCGAACACCAAACAGATCATTGCAGCATTACCCATAACCCCCTCTGTTTCAGCCCTGTTTCCAAAGTGCTGATTCTCTGTCTCTTACTTTAGATGAAAATAAGGAGCCCCTCCCCACGCCCCTCTGAGAGATATTTGGTTACAAAGAACTCAATGGTGCTCTAGGAGGAGATTCAGGTGATAAGGTGGGGGGGGGGGGGGGGTTACCTTGGTTGCTGATTGGCTAATGGTTACACAAGACAAAACATCGTTATGACATCATAAAGTGGCCAAAATCTGATCAGCTCATTTTCAGACAGGTTTTTATAGAAATGGATCAAAAAGAGAGAGAATCTTTGTTCCTGAAACTTTCAGAGTCTCTTTCCACAGAGGGGACACATGTTGATGTAGAAGAGACATGGAGAAGATGGGACACATGTTGATGTAGAAGAGACATGAAGAAGAGGGGACACATGTTGATGTAGAAGAGACATGAAGAAGAGGGGACACATGTTGATGTAGAAGAGACATAAAAAAGTGGATCTTGCACAATAGGTGACCTTTAAAATCTTTTTTCTGTACGTATTTTGCTACTAGTGGAAGATAACCCTAAACACAAGGTTTAAGTTATGTCAATTACATTTAAATAAAGTTTACATGTTATTTTGGGTACAATCTATTTAAGGAATTGTCATCTTTGGGAGAAATAAAAAGACATCTCGCCTAATCCGACAGATTGTATGTGCTTAAAAATAAACGAGATTTGTTTTCAGCGATTGCGTGTCTTTGCTTTGCCTGTTAACGTTATTTCTTCGAGTGAATATAACTTGTCTTATAAACACTTTGATGTACTTTCATGCCATCACTTACATTAAATAAGTTCAATTAAAAAACAACTTTTAAGGTTCACCACTTTGGAAAGATCAGATTAGAAAAAATATTTAAGGCAGTCAGGAGCGTCTTCAACGTTTTTTACTTCAAAGTATCGGACAAACACTTGAACCAGGTATTACAAATGAAAAGATACTTGCACTACAGTACCAAAGAAAGTGGAGAAAATTCAGAAATGTTTTGTTCTTTTGCAGATATATTAAACGTGGTATTTTCCCCCAAGTACAGATCTAAACACGTAGTAGATGAAACGCACGCTGAGCAATGCACGTGTCTTTATAGATTTTGTAAGCAGGCTTTATGAGAAGCTAAATCCGAGTAGCTCATCCTAAAACTATTTCCCGATAACGAGGCTGATTACAGGAAGTGGAGAGCAATCAGACGGGCGTGGCATTCAGGGACATGCCGCTATAATAAACAGTGTGTGTGCCAACTTCAGGGACAGAAATAACCGGCCCAGTTCTGGTCAGTGTGATTAATGGAGCTGCTGTGAACTCTCTCAGTGATGCAGCGTTTTATTTCTGGTGATTCAGACCTCATTAAGTCTGTTTCACGAGACAAACACTGCAGAGTAACACACACTCACATCAACAGTGTGAACCAGACGTATAGAGTAACGTGTTTACTCTCACCATACTACTTCCTGATGGCTCCCACAAGATTGCTGACATCCTCGTGGATTCATCTTCCTATTATACACACATGCATTTCCAAACATTTGGTCTACCTATGTTGCAAATGTATTATCTTTTCAATTTACACACGGCATCTATTGCACGTCTGTCCGTCCTGGGAGAGGGATCCCTCCTCTGTTGCTCTCCCTGAGGTTTCTCCCATTTTTCCCTTTAAACTGTGGGTTTTCTCTGGAAGCTTTTCCTTGTACGATGTGAGGGTCTAAGGACAGAGGGTGTCGTATTGTCATACTGATATTCTGTACACACTGTGAAGACCACTGAGACAAAATTAATGTAACATTTGTGATATTGGGCTATATAAATAAACATTGATTGATTGATTGATTTACCATGTTTCCCATGCTTTGCACTTTTCAGCTGGATAATCTTCTAGAGATGACGAGACTTTCTCAAGTTAATTAACTAATGATCTCGGGAACAGGGGCGGTTCTAGGTGGGGGCCAACAAGGGCCAGTGCCCCCGAAAAGCTGACCTGAGCCCCCCCCCCTCCAAAAGAAAAGTTTATAATATTACTATTTATTGTCTACAGCGCTGGAGCGATAGCTGGAACTAACTCTGTGTTTTAGTCAAACTCCTTTGGCCGGCTGATGCGCGCAGGAAAACAAACAACACTTGTCATTTCCACCCAGAGGCTGTTCCCTTTTTAATTCAAGTAAGACTCAATAAGACTCAAGCCTAGACGTTGAGAGACTATAAATCACAGGAACCGCAAGATAGTATTGTTGCTGTAATGTGAAAGAAGAGAACACCTCAGCCTGGCATGCAGAGACCCGGATGTACAGCAGAGATGGAAGTAAATCATTTAGTAAATACAAATCCAGACAGAAAATATGTGAAGTTTTGCAGGTGAAATCAAATGCAGATGTGCATTAAATCCAGATGTGGTAAGGTAGGGAAAGGCGTGTTAAATCCTCCCTTCTTCTGTGTTAAATTAAAAACACACGTTCCTCCTCAGTTTTACTCACCCAGGGGGGGAAGTAGGCCTCTGGTTCAAAGTACTTCCCGAAGTGTTTGTTCCTTTTGAAGTTCCCGAGGTCGGCCTGCAGGGCGAAGGCAGCGAGCAGGAAGTACGCCTCCTCCCTCTGCAGACACTCCGACTGCAGCACCTGCTTCCTCAGGTGCCAGTAGTAATAATATCGGGCAGAACGGTCGCTGAGGGGGGAAGTGAACGCATCACAGGTTAATAACTGAAGGGTGATAGAGTGGAAGCTCTGAGAGGATGAACCTGAGAAAGAAACATCCAAGTAATCCATTTATGGAGTTAAGTCTGAGCTAAATTGTTTGAATTCCATACAAATAAAATAAATCGAAAAAAATACTTATTTTTTACATTTTGAAAAAAGTAAAATTCTGAGAAAAATGTAAATGAAAATATTCTGAAAACATTAAAACAATTCTGAAAAAAAAGTAAAAATTCAAAAGCAAAAATAAATCGGAGAAAAAAAAAAAATTCTAGAAGCGAAATTTCTGAGAAAAAGTAAACATTTTGAGTTAAAATTAAAAAGAAAACATTCTGAGAAAAAAGTAAAAATTCTCAGAAAAAAAGACAAAATTCTTGACGGGAAATTTCTGAGAAAAAGTCAAAATTCTTAGAAAGAAAAAAAGGTGTGAGAAAAAAGTCAAAATTCAGAGAAAGCCAGAAAACAGGGGAGAAAACACTTTAAATCCGACAAAGATAAGGGGTTTATTTTCAGCCTATGAGAGCTTCAGTTTGTCTTCAAAAAGTCCTCTTTACTACCAGCTGTGGTCAGTAGGATGCGAGTCTGTACCTGATCAGTCTCCCATTCTCCACGTAATACTGAGCTCTGAAGTGGATTATCATCGGAGGCCCAAACTGGTCGATGCCCTGGAAAACAAACAAGTTAAATATTTATTATTTATTTCTCCAAACAGGTACAATTTAAAGTTGGAAAAATATATTGTAGGGCCATACAAAACATGTTTTTTGCTTAAAATACCAAACAGATCCCCCATTGTAGCCATGCCTCATACTGCTCATATCCCTCTTTTGCAGCTCTGTTAGAGCCCTGTTAATGCGGATTTTGGGTCCTTAGTTTAAAAAAAAGAAAGAAGAGGAGGCGGAGCTAATGCCTGATCAGAATTCTACCGGAGATAAAGTTAAATTCTGCTGTGATAAAACGCCATCCTGTTCTAAACCACATCAAGGATTATTTCTGAAACAGTATGGAGCTCAAATACTTTTTCTTTTGCGGGTTTATCACAAGGTGAGTTCCCTTTTTTTATTTCCTGCTTTTTAAACACATGCTCTCTCCAGTACAGGTTAGCTCTGAGTAGTAGCGAGGCTTGCTAATGTAAACAAAGACGAGATTATGTCCAAAACACGCCAGGAGTTGTTTCTGATAGCAACTCTCTGTGGGTCCACCATCCGATTACGTCATATCGGCAGCAAATCTGTATCCGCTCGTTGTACCCCCGTTTTTAAAAAAGATTTAAGAGAGAGGGTTTTATTTTCTGACGCTGCGTGAGTTCCCCGACGCACCGGGGACACATATGTATGTATAAAAGACATCACAAAGTGCATTTTGCATGATAGGTCCCCTTTAACATTTATATCAGAAGTTAGGAAACTGTCCGTGCTCAGAGGTGATTTACAAACTGTTTTACTTGTTGAATTACTTCTTTAACAAAAATAGTATGGTCAAAAAAGAGAATGCTTAAAAGGAGCATTTACATTTCCACCTACAAAGAACAGATTATTCAACAAAACCTTACTTCTTTTGTAAAAGCATGTTCAAGGTTTATGACAGATTGATTTGATGAACTCAATTTATTTAAACACTTTTTAAGGATCAGTGGGAACCCTGATCTTTTATCAGAGTCCTGTATCCTGTTTCCTGCTTCCTCACCTTGCTGGCCTCCCTCTTCCACTCTTTAGGACAATACTTAGAGAGCTTCTGATCCAGCTCCATGTAGATGTGTTCATTATCTGTGGAAGAGAGGAGGGTTAAACATTGATACTCAGACTGTGTGTGTGTGTGTGTGTGTGTGTGTGTGTGTGTGTGTGTGTGTGTGTGGTGTGTGTGTGTGTGTGCGTGTGTGTGTGTGTGTGTGTGTGTGTGTGTGTGTGTGTGTGTGTGTGTGTGTGTGTGTGTGTGTGTGTGTTGTGTACAGAGAAACCCCATGAATGCACATCGTTTAAAACCTGCAGCCTCTCTATGTGCTTACGCATTCATCTATGTTATAAATATTGTTTTTTAAATAAATCCTGTAAACCCTACGACGTATCTGAACCTGAGGACACTGAGGTCGGGGGACACTGGGTGAGACACACAGTGGGTGTGACACACAGTGGGTGTGTAGTGTTTGCCTGCAGGATTTCACGCTGCTCAGTCAGACACTTGAGGAATGCCCCCCCCCTCAGACTGCTGTCTCCTGACCTGACCGTCAGCTGTCTGAACGCCCCCCCCCCCCCTCAGCTTCCTGTCCACATGACCCTCACCTCCCCCAGTCACCATAAACAACTCCAGCCTCTCTGCACAAAGAGAGCAGTCAGTGGAGGCTTCCTGAGAGACGCCATCACAGGTAGTTGCTACATGCTGCGTTCAGGGGAGAAACCTGTGCTACATGCTGCGTTCAGGGGAGAAACCTGTGCTAATGCTGCGTTCAGGGGAGAAACCTGTGCTACATGCTGCGTTCAGGGGAGAAACCTGTGCTACATGCTGCGTTCAGGGGAGAAACCTGTGCTACATGCTGCGTTCAAGGGAGAAACCTGTGCTGATGCTGCGTTCAGGGGAGAAACCTGTGCTAATGCTGCGTTCAGGGGAGAAACCTGTGCTACATGCTGCGTTCAGGGGAGAAACCTGTGCTGATGCTGCGTTCAGGGGAGAAACCTGTGCTAATGCTGCTTTCAGGGGAGAAACCTGTGCTAATGCTGCGTTCAGGGGAGAAACCTGTGCTAATGCTGCGTTCAGGGGAGGAAACCTGTGCTACATGCTGCGTTCAGGGAGAAACCTGTGCTAATGCTGCGTTCAAGGGAGAAACCTGTGCTACATGCTGCGTTCAGGGGAGAAACCTGTGCTACATGCTGCGTTCAGGGGAGAAACCTGTGCTACATGCTGCGTTCAGGGGAGAAACCTGTGCTACATGCTGCGTTCAGGGGAGAAACCTGTGCTACATGCTGCGTTCAAGGAGAAACCTGTGCTAATGCTGCGTTCAAGGGAGAGAAACCTGTGCTAATGCTGCGTTCAGGGGAGAAACCTGTGCTACATGCTGCGTTCAGGGGAGAAACCTGTGCTACATGCTGCGTTCAGGGGAGAAAACCTGTGCTAATGCTGCGTTCAGGGAGAAACCTGTGCTACATGCTGCGTTCAGGGGAGAAACCTGTGCTACATGCTGCGTTCAGGGGAGAAACCTGTGCTACATGCTGCGTTCAGGGGAGAAACCTGTGCTACATGCTGCGTTCAGGGGAGAAACCTGTGCTACATGCCTGCGTTCAGGGAGAGAAACCTGTGCTAATGCTGCGTTCAGGGGAGAAACCTGTTCTAATGCTGCGTTCAGGGGAGAAAACCTGTGCTACATGCTGTGTTCAAGGGAGAAACCTGTGCTAATGCTGCGTTCAGGGGAGAAACCTGTGCTACATGCTGCGTTCAGGGGAGAAACCTGTGCTACATGCTGCGTTCAGGGGAGAAACCTGTGCTACATGCTGCGTTCAGGGGAGAAACCTGTGCTACATGCTGCGTTCAGGGGAGAAACCTGTGCTAATGCTGCGTTCAGGGGAGAAACCTGTGCTAATGCTGCGTTCAGGGGAGAAACCTGTGCTACATGCTGCGTTCAAGGGAGAAACCTGTGCTAATGCTGCGTTCAGGGGAGAAACCTGTGCTACATGCTGCGTTCAGGGGAGAAACCTGTGCTACATGCTGCGTTCAAGGGAGAAAACCTGTGCTGATGCTGCGTTCAGGGAGAAAACCTGTGCTAATGCTGCGTTCAGGGGAGAAACCTGTGCTACATGCTGCGTTCAGGGGAGAAACCTGTGCTAATGCTGCGTTCAGGGGAGAAACCTGTGCTACATGCTGCGTTCAGGGGAGAAACCTGTGCTAATGCTGCGTTCAAGGGAGAAACCTGTGCTACATGCTGCGTTCAAGGGAGAAACCTGTGCTAATGCTGCGTTCAGGGGAGAAACCTGTGCTAATGCTGCGTTCAGGGGAGAAACCTGTGCTACATGCTGCGTTCAAGGGAGAAAACCTGTGCTAATGCTGCCTTCAGGGGAGAAACCTGTGCTACATGCTGCGTTCAGGGGAGAAACCTGTGCTACATGCTGCGTTCAGGGGAGAAACCTGTGCTAATGCTGCGTTCAGGGGAGAAACCTGTGCTACATGCTGCGTTCAGGGGAGAAACCTGTGCTAATGCTGCGTTCAGGGGAGAAACCTGTGCTAATGCTGCGTTCAAGGGAGAAACCTGTGCTAATGCTGCGTTCAGGGGAGAAACCTGTGCTAATGCTGCGTTCAGGGGAGAAACCTGTGCTACATGCTGCGTTCAGGGGAGAAACCTGTGCTAATGCTGCGTTCAGGGGAGAAACCTGTGCTACATGCTGCGTTCAGGGGAGAAACCTGTGCTACATGCTGCGTTCAGGGGAGAAACCTGTGCTAATGCTGCGTTCAGGGGAGAAACCTGTGCTACATGCTGCGTTCAGAAGGAAACCTGTGCTACATGCTGCGTTCAGGGGAGAAACCTGTGCTACATGCTGCATTCAGGGGAGAATCCTGTGGTGCATTTAGGGGCATTTCATCCGTTTTGACTGAATAGAGCATGAATGTATCATAGTGCAACTCTATGGAACTTCCCTCCAGCTAACATTAGCAAGATTTCCACACAGATTTGTTCGTCATAACGTAGAATTATCAGGATGTGAAATATCAGAAAACTACAATTGTTTAGCCGATGTTTAATAAGTGTAGATAAACCTTATTAAACACCTGCAGGAACTAAATGTATTTGAGTCTTACTCTGAATGACGCTGAGTCCGAACAGGTGGCAGTCCTTCAGCCTCAGCAGATCACACACCTGCACCAGCAGCTCCTGACACACAGTCTTCACCTGAGGAGGAGGGTTACATGTATATTCATTACATAAATATACACTTGTAAATATAAGCAAAGATACTCCATAACTAAAGTAATATCTACATTGGTGAAGTTTTTAATATTGAACATTTGAACTGAAAGGATTAGATGATTCATGGATAAGTCAATTAACTATTTCAAAAATGTTTCAAGCATAAAAAGATTCAACAAACAAGTCGGTCAAATATTCTCTGATTCCAGTCAATTTCTGTCTCATCGTAAATTAAAGGCTTTTGGTTGAACAGTACATAACATTTCCTTTCGTACAATATATAAAGTAGCTGCATCCTCACAAGGAAAGAGATTTTACAAGTTTCTACAAGCATTTCTTTGGATAGAATACGAAATGTTTCATCCTCACGTTGACGATGACGTTGAGCGTGTCGTCGTTGGGCAAAAAGACACAGACGCAGCGGCGGTCCTGCATGGTTCTGTTGTTGTGGAAGCTCAGTCTGTTCATCTTCAAGAGGCTTGATCAGGACCGGCCCCCCCACTGGGCCCTCTGACCCCCGCCTCCACCAGCAGTAGAACCAGCAGAACCAGAACCAGGTATCAGAGGATCCACTTCTGCAGCCCAGCACACTCAGCAGCTTCAGGGAGGAGCATAGGAACCCGATTTGCAGGAAATCCCTGAGGGACGGAGAGGTAAAAGAAAAACGTAAAGATTAGACATGAAAACAGTTTAAATAACATAAGCAACTACAGACCGTGGAAACAGACCTTTTGTAAGTGTTTTTAAATGCTAAATGCCTTATTTTCATAAGGTTTGAAGGGAAACCTTTGCATGATTCTATGGGGAGAAACGTCAATTAAAGCAATTAAAACAAAAAGCAAGCATAGAAATACACAAAACACCGGCACTGAAGATGTTCTGCAATCAGATAAATGAGAAAAAAGCTGCGTGTTTACATGGGAATTAGAAAAACATTATTTTAAGCTTTGTTATGCTGTATTAATTAATTGAGGACATCTCAGTAAAGATTTAAAGGGGAAGCTTATGCATGATTTATTGGGGAAAAACTTTTTTAGATCTGTCTGCTAAACCAAACAATGTATTAGTCGTTAATAATAATAATAATACATTGCATTTCAAAGCGCTTTTCCAGGTGCTCAAAGACGCTTTACAGTGGTGATAAAACATGATAAAATAGAATTTAAAAGTTATTAAAACAGCAATACAGCATAATTCACAGATTAAAAGCCAGTCTGAAGAGGTGTGTTTTGGTCAGTGTTTTGAAAGTGGGGGAGTCAGTGCAGTCTCTGATGTGTTGTGGGAGGGAGTTCCAGAGGGTGGGGGCAGCGATGGAGAAGGCTCTATCCCCCCAGGTTCGGAGCTTGGTTTTCTTGGGGATAGAGAGGAGGTTCGCTTCTGATGAGCGAAGGCTGCGGGAAGGGGTGTAGTGGTGGATCAGGTCGGAGAGGTAGGGGGGGGCTGGTTATTGAGAGCTTTGTGTGTTAGCATTCGCAGAAGGATTTTGAAGTGTATTCGTTGAAAATGGTATAATTGTTTGTGCTGTAGTCATTTCTGAATGCCTCTTTAATGCTGTATTACTTGGACCCCAATATATGACTAGTCGGTTATTCGATCGTTAGGTATTTGTTTTTAGATTTACGGATTCGATTATTTTTTAACCGCTTTGGACATCAAACAAGTGTGACACAAGCTAAACCTTTTTAAATAACTATAGATCATTAAACAAACAATACTAACATAGAAGAACTGCATCTGAAAACTACAAAGCTAAAAAAGTATTCAGGGAAACTGCTGAGGCTTTTAACTTGATTATTTATTTATTATTGCGATGCAACTGTTTATATTGTAAATTGGAATTATCCACATCTGTGCTCCCGGGTGTATCTGTGTGTTTTCTTCCTGTATGTTCCTGCCTGTGTTCATGACATAAGCTGCTGCTCATAACCAATTGCCCCTTGCGGGATTCATAAAGTTGTTGATTGATTGATTGATTGAGCACATCTCTGGTAAACACAGATTTAAAATGGAAATCCTCCCAAGGTTTGTTAGCAGACCAAGAGTGTCTGTAGTGAGGACGGGTCTGAAGAACATGTTTCCACTGAAGGAGAGCGACAGTGGGAGAAATGAGAGAGGGAGACGGAGGGCAGCGTTCCTGGATCTGTGACATCATGTGAGGGGAATGTCCCGAGGAACATGAACATCTGCAGAGGAACCGTAATGAAGGAAACGCGCTGAAACAAACACTGATTTATATGGCGTTCTACCTCTGTGTCATGTCTTCTCTCAGACTAGAGGAAATAAAACACATCCAGGAGTTTATTTAACTAACTCTGTCTGTTTGTGTCTGTTTCTCAATTTTTCAGATTTCAATGTTTTTTTAACATTTCTGCGTTTTTTTTAAACATTTTACATAATATTTCAGTTTTTTGTCAATATTTTTCATATAATTTGTATTTGATTTTATCTTCTCTCACTGTTCCTATACGCCCCCATAAAAACAAATTAATTGCATGTAAAAAAAGCTACTTATTATTATTTGTTTATTTATTTAAAATTGTTTAGAATATTTTATTTCTCAGGATTTGCTCTTTTTTCTACTTTATTTTTATTTTTGTATTTGTTATATGTGAAAACCAACTTGGCAATAAACTCAATTCTGAATCTCATTTAATTTATATTTTAAGACTATTTCCAACAGTTTTTCACTCGGCTCCTCCCGTTTTGCCAGTACTGTGGTATTAGTGGTTTAGGAAGAGGGGAGTTTTTCACAAATCCAGCGCTCCCTAACTCGTGAAGCCAGGACAGTAAACAAACATGTCGTCGGTGGTATGGGCGTTGGAGCTATGTGCAACTCAAGGCATATGCTCGAACCGGAGCTGCCTGGACGCTGCAATCATGTTGCGCACTATCCGTGCTGAGTGTGCTGACTTTTCGTACAATGTCCCACTGTCTGGCTTCCTGCATAAAGTCAAGTGCTCGGCGCAGTTGTGGCGAAATGTCGCTCCTCTGTTTTCCGGGTCCTCCCAACAGCCAGTCGGTGCCTGCCGGTGAGCGTGGAAGTGTGGTCTGCCACAAGCGGGCGGCAGGAGCGGGGCTGTCAGCATCAGCTTGTAGATAATATTTTTAACTCGAAGCGCTCTGAAACTACGGGGCGGCCGAGGAAAAAAAATACACATGCGTTAATCGCGTTAAAATAATTAGTGGCGTAATTTTTTTTTATTATCGGTTATCGGTATCGGTCTTGAGAAGCAGGAAGTTATCGGTATCGGTTTCAAAAAACCAATATCGTGCATCCCTACAAAATATAATTGTGTTAATGTCAGTAATGAAGTGGGAAGTTTTATGGTGATATCTGTTAGTTAAATATGTTACCCTATTCACCTGCAGTGTGTACAAACCCCAACTTTAACAACAATGCTGCAAATTAGGTAATTCATCCCCATACTTGATTATAACAGCTGTTACATTTTTTTTACATGGTTTTGAGTCAACTGGATGTGATTTTGTTGGCTTTTAGGCCACACGGAGACGAAAGCGAAAGCGAACCGAGGTCGATATCAAAAAAGTCCACACGGAACCAGAAACGTGTCCGTCCACACGAGACCGCTCGACCCACAAAATACACCAAAAGCAGCGAGTATCAAGGCCGCTACACACCAACCTGAGACCAAAGAACGCGTACCGAAGACGTCCCGACTTTTACGCCCGCCTACGAACACACCGTAAAGACTTCAGTCGACGAGTGGCAATAACTGTCCTTACCAGCAGGCGGCGGTAGTGTGTATTCGTCATTCAAAAGAGGCAACAACCAATCAGAGTGATTTCTTTGGCCGAGGCCGCGGGAGGTGTGAAAATGTGCCGTAAAGCAACGAGGGTGCGGGACACACCAATCTGAGTAGGGCGCCGCGACTGCCTCTGACGGCCTCTGACGGCCTCTGACGGCCTCTGACGGCCTCTGACAGCCTCTGACTCCCAAAATCGGGTAGGTGTGTCAGGGCCTTAAGACACATGGGCATAAGGCACGAACAAACAAACAAGGTAGAAAGCAACCCTTTGATCCGCCATTGTTGTTGTTGTTGGCGAAACACATTAGCAATGAGGCGGGGGTGAGCAGCAGAGGTGGGGAGAGGCGGGGCTATGGCGCCATCGTTATCAGGAAATGATCGTATAGGGCAGGGGTCGGCAACCTTTTTGATATGAAGTGCCATTAAAAAAAAAAAGTAATCAGCGTGCCGACGATCGTGAATTATCAACAGGGGGGGGGTGAGGAGTTTGATGCTCGTGAACTGTCAACAGGAGGGCAGGGGAGCCTCGCAGTGTGTGGACCTGTCAGCGCAACTTACATGATGCCGAATTTAACACACTAATTTAAATAATTGGTTTAAACGGCATAATAATAAGGACGATCGTCCGTTCTGTGATTCTCCAGAACACACAGATGGCCAGTCCGCCCCTGTGTAGCATATTGTTTAGATGAGAGATGAGCAGATCGCCACTGGGCTTTCAACTAAAGACACAACCACGCAAAAACTGCGGCATTTGTACAGCTCCTTGTGGGTACTGCAATCTGTGAAGTGCTTTCCTCCGTGGTGAAACGATCAGCACTGCACCACGGAGGAAAGCGGCAGAAAGTCGCCTGGAGTTAAAGAGAGCGGGGTTGCGTTGCGTGCATGGCTTCCTTCTGCAGGTAACGGGGAGACACGCTCTGGCGGCGGTCTCGTTCAGGATCCGAAAATACAATTTAAATATTTTGACCACTTATTCCTAGTGTGCCACTGGTTACGGTGCCAGGGATTGCCGACCCCTGGTATAGGGCGTACACACTAGGGTTGCCAGAAACTGACCATGATCAAAATCGATTATTCGGCAGCCTTGGCTTGGAAATAATATTCGATTATGGAGACTGTAACGAATATTCGAATAATCACTGGCATCCCTAGTACACACGGAGCCGTTTGACCCCCAGAGCGTTGCGTCTGCAGATCTACCCACCTTGGGAACCGTTATCGTTATCCGTGTCGGCCTCGTGCGGACGAACCGTCTATACGATAGAGAACTGTAGCGGATACAACCCGTTTCGTCTCCGTGTGGACGGGGCCTTAATCTAGACAGCTCCACATTTAGTTTCCTGGCATCGTTTTTGTCAACTCTTTCAGTTCTGTTGACAGATTTCTGTCCGTTTGACTTGAATTATTTCCCTGTCTGCTGGAAACTGACTGCAGCTCTGTGTTTGGGAAATGCAAGTATGTCAAATGTCCCTGAACTCATCTGATATCATTCAACCACCTATAATACTGCACAGCTGCACCACCGTTTATTCAGATATAATGTGCATACTTTTCACAGTAAATTGTCATATTTTATTGCATTTTTTTAAATACTTTTTCACACATTTCTGCACAATACTTTAAAACTGCACAGCTCTCCTGCCTTTAATTCAGATATACTGTAAGTATTATTCACAGTAATTTAATACTTTTATTTTAAGTTTTTTAATGTGCATTTAATATATCTTGCTCACATTTTTCTTATTTTGTCATCTTTCTTGAATTGTTTTCCTCAATATTCCTTTATGTATTTTAACCTATCATGCTATCTTTATGTTTGAACCGAAACCAAAGGACGTTCCTATTTAAAAAAAACTACTAGTAATATA